TTAAATTTCATTATTTCCAATCAACACTTCTCTTACTTGCAATCTTTGATTGAATATTTTATAAAGATTTTTACATTTAATAAGTGGATAACCAACCATTCAGTGATAGTCAAAATACCTTAGATTAGACTTTTCTTATGTTGTTGGTGGTCGTGAAACATAGGGTAGATTTACATTTTCATCCTTAACTAATTCTTGAAGTAGTGTTTCACTTTGTCAATTGAAATGGGAATGGTAAAAAGTCAGTATCATCATATTGTCTTCTTCTTTGATTATCTCTTCTAGGATGATATTAGAATGAAGAGGTCTTTTTTTTTTCTTACTCCTCCTTGAATTGCATTTATTGTAGAAGTATTCTTTCTAGTGAAATGATTTATTTCTTGTTGGCTAAGCATCGTATTGTTGGTTTTTCTTATAGTTTTAACCAAAATAGTACAGGTTGAAAGAGATAAATTCTCTAAGTATACCTTATACTCATTAAACATTCCTTGGATATATACTTTCACTAGTTATTGAAGTAGGACTAATACTATACCTCACTTGATGTTTAAATCCAAAAATCAGTTAATCTTTAAAATCTATCTCTTCAATTGGATCTAAGCTCTTCAAAAGTGCTTTCAAACTTATAACAACTTTTCATCTTCCATCTTAGTTTCTTTTTCCACATTTTTTTTCAAATTCTTCTTATGGTTCCTATTCTATTTCAAAATTCTTCTCTATCTCTTTTAAGTTGCCTTTCTCTTCAAACTCTTATTTGCTTTCATCTTTCTTTTTAATATATTTTTCAGGTACTTTTACAAAACTAGATAGGTTCACCACTGCTGATTCTTCCATTAAATCTTCATCATTTTCATCAACAACATACACCACTTTTTTTTTCTTTTAATCGTCCTTTAATGTGCACTTCACTTTTTCCAACCAACTTGGATTTATTATTAAGGTTTTATAAAGTAGCAATTTGGGTTTTGAGAAAGTTGGCTTGATTTTGGATAAATTCTGTAAAAGCTTTATTAATGGAAAGTTTCATTTCTTGAGGAAAGAATGGTGGCTCATGAAGGAAAGTATTGTGATGATTAATGGTATTGAGAAAGTAGGTCATATGGAGAAGAAACGTATTGTTGAATTTGAGGGTTTAAAGGATAAGGTGAGGTATATATAGATGATGGCTTTTTATTGCTTCCCTATTCTTGAGTGTAGTGAGTAAGTAAAAGTTAAATTGGTTATCTTGACGCCTATCACTATAGTATCTCCCACTAAAGACATAACAATTATCAAAAGGGCTTTGAACTAATTGGACATGATTAGGATTATGATTTCCTTCAAAAGCATTTATTTTTCAGCTAAAGAAGCTAGTTGTAAAAGAATCGAAGTCATACCTTTCAATAGTATTTCTCAGTTTAGGATTTTAAAATGGCGATTGAATATGGAAATACTCAAAAGATGACTTAGCATAGTCCCTAAAGGTTTTGGCCTTACTACAATAGAAATTAGACATAAAGGAAGAAAAAGAAAGAACACATTAGAACACAAAAATAAAAAGTCTAAATTACAAAGTAGAAAGAAGTGTTATTGATATTGGCATTCTAGTACTAATATAATCCTTAGCAAGGATGCTAAAAACTTGATTGCTTTTTTTGTGAGGCTACAAGTACACAGGTCACATCTAAATAATAAAATATGAGTAGAGTTATCATTCCCTCGAGGATTATGTTGGGGTGCAAGGGAAAATACCAAAAGAGATTCTTTCCAACTTTATATTTAAATAGATCAAAAAGTTAATTAAAGCATTGAAAATGTGATAATCGAATACTAAGCTAACTAATTATCACTTAGCAACTCTAAAGGCAAAATGATTATGCAAGAAAATAAAAAAAAAATAGAAAGCTTATAAAAGAATTAAATATTGCCAATTGTAAAGAAAGCATAAAACCAAGATTTGTTAAGAAAAGAAAAAGTGTGCATGTAAATAGAGAAACAAATCTTAGAATGAAAATAGAAAGAAAACTTGTATTAAGAAAGAGCTGCAGAAAATAAAACTATGGTTAGTTTGTCACTCTAACCAAGAATTACAAAGGAATTAAAAAAGATTTAGGCTAGTCTGTTAACCTAGCCAAATGTAAATGAAAAGAAAAGAACTTAAAAACTAGAAAAAACATAAATTGAATAGAAAAGAATGAAAGAAATGATGATTTACAAATGAAATGTATGGCCTATTTATAGTACAAGGTTCAACCAAGGGGAATGAACTTAGACACTCTTAACTTTAGAAGGTGATCTTGAATTCAATTAACATCCCACTAATTGAGGAATCTTTATGAATGAAATTGATCTTGTCGAGCTGAATATAGCTTTTACATTTAACCCATTTATGCCATTCTTGCTCAAGTCAACATGATTTGAAATTCAAAAGGGACATTCGGCCAATTTAAAAACCATATATGGGAGATTTAGCTAATCTATAATTTAAAGACCATATTTCTTTGATTTTTCACTTATTTTGGAATTCTTTTGAATTTATAGGAATTAATCTTGCATTCTATTTCTAGCTTTTGGCTGAATATGACTTTGGATCTCATAGACTTCTTGGTTCGACCTTATGTTGGGCTACCTTTGCATAATATGCATGGATTTTAGCTTTTACTTGCAAAGTGAAGTGTTTCTTCATGCAAATTTGAAAATCACAAATTTAGATCATTATTAAGCAAAATTCATGAACATTTTTAAAATTTTAACTCTTAAATAATAAGTAAATAGCTATAAAATCATGAAGTCATTCGAGACAATGGAAAGGAATGATGGAGTAGACCTTAAAGTGTTAGGTACAATAATAGGTGGTGGTGGATAATGAAATAAGGTTAGGTAGAGGAAAGAATAGGGTTTAGAAAGAAACTCAGGAAGAGAGAATTACTGAGAGAGTTTGAGAGAAAGTTGTAAGAAATCTACTAAAATCTAAAAAGTCCCCATGAATTATGGAAACTCCTATTTATAAGTTTCAATAATATGAGTTATATGTCTTTTGTATTGAATGAGAATAATGATGAAATTGATAGTTATAAAAGGTGTTAATACTTTATCCAATAGAAGTTTAATTAGCTTTTGATGATAGGTATAGTGAATATATAAGTTCACTACTTATTTTTAAAAAAAAAAAAATACTCGTACCTAAGAAAAAAGTTAAGAGGAGACATATTAACTATCTTTATATTTGATCCATTAAACCAAACTCTTTGGAGCACCCCAATAAAGAAAATAACCCAAGAACCTTGCCATATTCAAGGCTATTTTGACTTTTTCTTTCGGTGCAGCATCTTTTGTATGATAACTCTTAGTGAAACAGCTTTTGGTGAAAGAATTTTTGATAAAGGTATTGGTGTTATTCCTTAAGAAAGTTATTTCGAGAACAATTATTCTATGAAGGTGTTGTTTAGTGAAAAAGTTGTTCCTTGATAATTGTTTTATGAAAAAATTGTCCTAGGAATAGCTATTTCGTAAAAAAACTTTTACTAAAACAACTTTATCATCTGTTCAGACTTATCCTCAATTTCAACAACTTTAGAGAAATTTTAAAAAATAAAATATTAATAACTAAAATAAAGTATTTACTAGTTATTTGTAGCATTAGCCTTATTAAACATAGTTTGGAAAAAAGATACATATATCTACTACTAAGTCAAAACCTTATGCATGTAAAAAGCATGTTTTAAATATTTAATATTTTTAAAAAAAAATTTTAAGAAAAAAATTAGTAAGGAAGCATTTAGTTGAGGAAAGTAAGATTTTTGACCAAAATCTTACTTTTCATAATTTCATTCCTTAATTTGGTTTATGGAATGTTATTCCTAATTTTTTTTAAAGATCTCCAATAGTATCAAGAAGGGAGAAAGTATGAAAGAATCAAAAACTCTCCTCTTTTTGAGGTTTTTTTAGATTCTAGATGAAAGTTAAAAATCTTTCCTTATTTAACCTCATTTAATCGCATTTTAAGACTACATAGATAACATTATCCACCATCAAAACACAATAATTTTATATTTTGTTTTTTATAGTTTCAACAATGACGATAATTTTAGGATTAAAAACGTGATTTTTGTTGAAAATATAAAAAAAATTCATTTTTCAAAATTCAACAAAAATGACATTTTAAAAATAAAATGCAGTCTTTGTTGAAAATTAAAATTTTTTGTCAAATTCAACAAAGACAATATTTTTAAGATAAAAACATAATCTTTATTGAAAGTAAGAAAAAAAAAATTATCTTTTAGGATTCAACAAATACAATGTTTCTAAGATAAAAGAGTTATTTTTGTTAAAAACATTAAAAATTTATTGTTTAGAATTCAAAAAAACAATGTTTTTAAGGTTAAAAAAAAACATGATCTTTGTTGAAAATATAAAAAATATATATATATTTCAAAATTTAATAAAGATAACGCTTTAAGATAAATAAAGGCAAACTTAGTTGAAAATATGAAAAAAATTATTTTTCAAAATTTTTTAGTTTCAATGAAGACAATGTGTTATTCATGTCATATTTTATGAATGTGATGTGTTATTTATGTATAATTAAAGATAACATAATAAAAAATTTTATTAGATAATCTTACATTATTCTAAACCAAATATAAAAATTTTATATTTTTTAAATTAACAAAATGTAAGAATCACATATTTTCTTTTAATATTGCCTTGTCCAAAAATTACTTTTCCTTTCAAAATTTAAAAATCTGTGAACTCAACGTCCTTTAACTCATTTTCCAAAATGAGAAAACTAATATTTTGAAAAAAATTAAAAAGCATTCAATTCCCCGGTGGTTCACCAATTTACTCAAAAACTTAAAACGAGCTAACAATGATTAGACTAGCCTAATTGCGAGTTTTTGGGGGTCCAAACAATAAAATTGATCGTGCTTCTGGTAGTCCAGAATGTTGTTGGGCCGAAGCCTAGTAAATAGTATTCGGCCCATCGCCGTTCACCATGCCCACCGTCACCTACTGGGTCTCTTTTGTAGTATTTTACTACTTTTTTTTCAGCTTTGAGTGCAGAATAGGGCATGACTACAAGAATATTTGCATCTCCAGCAATGAAAGAAGCAAATCCATTTTGCATATTCTCACCTCTTCTAGACACTTACAGACTTTTTCTCACTTGTCGAACTCTCCCTTGTATTCCCTCTGCTACACTTCTCTGAAACTTAAACTTAAACCTAAACCCTCCGTCTCTTTGGCAAACCACAATCATAAACATAAAGGTTAAGCAAAGCAAGAGGCAAAAGGAAGAAGAATGTTCGGAGTGGTATTCCCCAATCGAAGCTTCCCAATGGACATCTCCAGCTTCACCCAAATTGACACCTTCCATTGGGTCCTCGACATGAACACTTTCGTTGGTGAGGCCTACCATCAAATTGGTGACATGTGCATCTTCCTTTTGAACAACTTCACCTTGCCTCCTGACAAGGCTTTAGCTGTCTACGTCCAGTCCCCTGGCTCTCCCTTCGTTTTCTGCGGCGCCGTCACTCTTCAACGCCCCTCAGCTGTGCTTTCCCTGCTGTGGCCAGAGCCCGGTGGCCATATGCTGTTGACCGCTCCTGATTCTGCCATGCCCTCCGCCAAGATCGGTGTGTCGGTGGAGGATCTAGCTGCGCTGCCGTCCATGGATGTGGCTGCTGAGAAGAAGATCGAACGGCTGGCGTTGAAGGTTGGGGAGAACTTGTTCAATTTTATGCAGTCGTTCTGTGGGGTTGATGGGTCTAAGTTGGTGGTGCCTATGGACATTCTGGATAGATGGTTTAAAAAATTTCAGGAGAAAGCCAAGCGTGATCCTGACTACTTGAAGGGCTTCGCCTTGTAATTTTCTCTAACTTTCTTTTTCAAGGTAATTTCTACAATCAATTAAATTATGTGATTTGTGTAGTTTGAATTTATATCTGCAAATTTTTTTTGGCAATTTTTAAAAGTGGACTTTACTGGTTTTAGTGTCAATTCTGCCTTCAATATAATACTTGGCAAATCCAATGTAATTCGTTAGGTGGTAGTTTATCTATTATATGTTGCCAGCTAGGAGAGGTTGTGTTGAGCTTGGTCATGAATCATGATTACCTGAATTAACCCTCAATAAAGCTTACAATTACTGGTGCTGAATGCTTTGTTGGTTACTAGTTGCTTTAGGGAAAAATATCTTGCAGTGAGTATACTCATTTCAATTCCAAATAGTATATCTGATTTTCTGTTTGGAATGAGAGAAATGGAAAGAAGTGACAAAGCTGACATGAATAAACTGATACTATATATATAAAAGGAAACCCCTTAAGGAAATCTGACCTATATCTGGGTTCCAGTGACTGTCCTCTGGTAAAACTCCTAACTTCTCAAGTGGTTATGTAAGCTGCAATTGAATCTGTTCATCTCTTACACACACACACACACACAATACCATAATCGCTTGTTGTTTATGAAACCACCAAAGCTTTATCTTCCAGGGATTTTTACTTGGATACATTTCATTTTAAGGATATTGACTAACGTATTTTTAGCAATTTAAACATGTTTCAAAGTGCTGATACTTCTCTTTATGGGTCAGTACATCTTCAAATGTTCCAGTTGAGTTTTTTAAGTGGTTTTATCCTGGATTGGTTAACTTTAAGATTTTTGTTTAGGCCTTATCTTCAATTGGTTTTATTGAGTTTAATGCTTAACAAGTATTAGAACCCGAGTGGTTTGTTGCTCTAGTTGTTACGTCATTTGTTGCTTGTTGTTTTTGTCCCATATTTATAGGTTGGGAGCTTGTTAATTGCTGTTATCTTTCCTAGTAACTTTGAGGTTTGTTGTGGTTAATTTTATATTTAGGTTGGGCTTCTTCACTTGTTGGTTAATTAGCTTTTCCATTTCATTGTTATTGCCTGTGATTTATAAGTTTGGAGAGATGGAGAGATGGTTAATTGGTTATAGTGGTGACATTCTAAATGGTGATATGTTTGGTTTCAAGCTAATACAGATAAAGGCCATGAATCTATTATGCTATCGCTAGAAAATGGGGTACATGACAGCACAAGAATGCTTTCTAATTGATAGTTCTCTCAACATATTGCATAAGGCCTTTTACTATGACTGGTTGCTGCTTATATGATACTCATCATGTCTTTGGACATTAAGGAGAGGTGTGATTTTATAAGGGTTTTTTTAGCTTATTTGAGCAGCTTGGCATTAAAGTAATATCTTTGTTGAAGTAATCTAGGGGTCTAAGATAATGTTGAACCTCATGAGGTTGTGAGGAGAACAAAGTCAAAAGAACCCTGTAGTTTCAGGTTTTCACCATTTGTATATTTGTGTACGCAATATTTAAGACAAGCAATTTTCACTCTTACATGTAATTGGTGTAAGCAAACTGGAGAAAATAGGAACTATGATGGGCAAATCATAGATGAAGATGGTAAACATGACGTGGAGATTTGAACTTTAGGTTGCGGATATGATGTGTCCATGGCTATGGCACAAAAACTTTGTTTTTTTTTTAATTTTATTTTACCGAAAAAAACCTTTTTTGGCTTTGATGTCTCACTTAGGGATTAAAAAAGTGGTTGTGTAAATCTAATATACTAAAAGGTTTGTCAAATCATCTTGAATTTTTTAATATTTGGATAGTTATGATATATTATTATATGTTGCTTATTATCTACAAATAAAAAAGTTTATAAAAAAATTATTTTATATTTATTGCTAACATGTTGAAAGTTTAATAGGTCATACAAAATATAGTAACATTATGAATTAAAATAGAATTTAGTGTTATGAAGTTGTTTTTCCTAAAAAGCTTAATTAAAAAGTTTAATTAAGTAAAAGTTTAAAAATGTTATTTTTGCTAAATAAGGCACTTAACCTATTTATTTAACACATACTTGGTCACCTTTGTATATATAAATAATAGAGATATCGACAAATTAGAAATGCACGGGGATTTATTACACAATCCTTCCTTCACATGATTCTAGTCGCGTATTTTATTGCCATTATGGTTTGTTTGGCGTGACTTGTTTTCAATAGGAAGATTATTTTCTTCCTTTGAAATTATCTAGACCTTTTTTATTTGAGAGTAATTGCTAAAATGGGGATAATTTTAAATTTTAATATACTAGTACAGACTTCTGGCTAAATACAATACTAATTTCTAGTAGATTTAAATTTGTAATCTATATTCTTAAACTTGAATTGTTACTTATTTTGAAATGATAAAATATTAAAGCTAAAACTTGGGATAAATTGTTTTGGACTCAAAAAGAAAATTTTACTGGTAACTTTTTTTAATGAAAAATGACTTGAGATGAAAATAAACTTCTTTCTTAATTAAAAGAGTTTTATACAAAATTAGGAAAGAGTGATCGATTCCCTTGTAGACATGATCGATCTTTTTTGTATAGAAATTGAAATTTTTGTTTAAAACTTAAAAACAATCAATTCATTTAATGGATCGATTGGTTTTTTATATAGAAAGGTCTTGAGTTTGAAAATTGCAAAAATAGATTGATCTATTATAAAATGGATAGATTGGTTTTTCTTACAAAACCTTTATTGACTTGAAATCAACAAAAATGAATTGATCGCTTCCTAAAAGGGGTCGATCAATTTTTCTTTCGTAGAAATTCATTTTGGCTCGAAAGGCCAAACCCAATTGATTACCTTAAAAAATGAATTGATTGGTTTTGCCCTAACAGCCTTAAATGATCATATTTTCTTGTTTTTACAGAACATTTAAGGCATTATTTGAAGGTAACTGTTTTTTCTCCTTTTTACATATATAAAAAGGTTTCCCACCAAATTATAAGCTATCAAGAACCAGGAGAATTTATTGTAATATATTATTCATTTTCTTTAAGTATTAAAGAGCAAATTGAAGTGTGAAAGAGCATAACTTTTCATTTTATATCTAAATCCTCTTGTTGTTATTCATATATTTTATTTGTATTTCAAATTAACAAACACTTAACTTTAGAAAGGTTCTTCAGTTTGCAAAACACTTGTTTTTAGCTTTAAGATTGTAAAATTGAAAGGAAATATAACCTTAAAAGTTTTATTTGTTGATTGTATCAAGTTTTGGAAAGGCTGATTGTAACATTTAACATTTATATAGTGAATTGAATTCCTTTGTAATTGAGGCAAAGGAGAGGACGTAGGTGACTTGGGGAATGACTAACCTTTTATAATTTTTTATGTTTAATTCTCATCTTTTCTCTTTTATTATTAAATTTATTTTGTTATGCATATATATTGTCTTTATTTGTTTAGAAATATACATTTATGATCATTGTTTAATTTGGTAATCAAATTATCAAAATTTTTAATTAACTAATTCACTTTATCTTGGTTCTTTAATATTTTGAGCTAACAATTGATATTAGAGTTAGTATTCAATCATAACTTGGGATGATTTGGTCCAAAAACTCTTAACAAAGATTTTTTCACCAACAAAGACTATCAAGATAAGGAATGAAATCACCATTTTTCTGTAAGCTGATGGTGAAACTTTATATGATGGATAGGAAAGATTCAAAGAGCTATTAAGAAAATGCCTACACCATGGTTTACCCTAATGGCCTTAGATTTAGATCTTTTACAATGGTTTCACACTACTTATGATAGCCACTTTAAATTTTGCTTTTAGAGTGGTAAAAATAAGCAAGACTCCTAAGGAAGCAAATGATCTCATTAAAAGAGACGGGTACTAATAATTATCAGTAGAGCATGGAAAGAAAGGTTAGTAAAAAATTTGCTGGTTTATTTGAGGTTAATGCTATTATTTCAATTAACTCTCGACTAGTCGCCCTTACTAAAAAGATTAAAGCCTTAAGAAACCAATCCCCTTCCAATTTAGGGTAGAATCAATCCACTACATTTAACAAACCAACCAAACCAAACAATAATCCCTAAAGCAATACCTACAATCCTTGATGGCAAAACCGTCCAAACTTTTCTTGCAACTAATCCAACCACCAACCCACCAACAACTAACATCCTATTCCATTAAATAATAGCCCACCCCCAGAAAAAAAAACCACCTTTGAAAATATGTTGACTCAACTAATGCAAGCCAACAATGCTAATATCCAAAATCAAGTTGCATCAGTCAAAAACTTAGAAAAATAAATAGGTCAACTTGCCCAACCCATAATAAATCATTTTATAGGTATCTTACTTAGCAACACTAAAACCAATTTAAAAATACAAGGAAATGAGAGATGTAATGCAATTTATTCTTTGAGATATGTTAGGATGAAAGATTCTGATGAGGAAAATGATGAACCCATAATAGTAAAACTTGCAAAACATTGTAAGACAACCTGAAGTAGATTTCAAGAGAAAAGAGGATATTTTAGAAAATGATGAGCTTTTAATATTTGATAGAGAACTTTTAAAAGGTTTTAATCTTATGGCATTTAAGGCCTTTGAAGATATAAAAACATATGAAGATTTGGACTATAAAGATGATCTAGAAGAGTATATTAAAGGGTCTCTTGAATAAGGGCAAATGTTGCTGCAAGTAGGAATAGCACTACTAAAGAGCATTCAGCTTGAACCTAAAAAGATAGTCCAAGGTGAGCCCACCCAAAATGATTAAAGAGAAAAGGCAATTCAAAAAGAAGAGCTCTAAGATGAAGATCCTGAAAAAAAAAAAAAAAAAGAGGCTTAAAAGGAAATTCAACCAAGGTCGAGAATGATTGCCAAAATTAGAGGTAATGTTTTAACATAACACCACCTGCCCTAAGGCCTATTCAAAAAGAGCTGCTTAAGGAATTAAAAGACGCCTCATTCTTAGAAAATTATAGCTTTGAACTTCAACAACTCTTGTCTAGAAAGCAAAAGATCCAGGAAGTTTTAATATACCTTGCAAAATCAAAAAATTAAAATTTTTTAATGCTTTTTGTGATCTTGGTTTAAGTATAAATTTAATGCCTGTGAATATCTTTATGCAGTTAGGTTGTAAAAAGCTAAAGCTAGCCCAGTTCAATATTAAATTTATTGACCAATCTACTAAGTTACCACAAAGGATGTTGCAGAATATGTTAGTGAAAGTTGAAAAATATGCTTTCCTTATGAATTTTGTTGACTTAGACATTAAGGATAATGCGGTTCCATTATTGTTAGAAAGACCTTTTTTCTATTTACTGCCAATGGACTAATAGATGTGTATAATGTTAGCCTAACCTTAAGATTTAAAAACAAGAAGTTACAATTTGTATATATCGGGTATGGGGTGCTAAGAGATGAAAAAGGTGTTAATGCAATCAAAGTGAAGAAAACCAGAAAGTGTCTAACCTAATAGATAAGCTTTCTGGCCTTTTAAAACACTGAGCAACCCCTAGCTCTAGCCATGTCAACCCCTTAAGAAATTCAAGTTCAAATTATGTGATTTTTGCAAGGAGAGTTAGTCCACCTCCTTAAACTAAGTTTGTTTATGTCATATCACAAAAAAAGAGACAAGGTAAGCGCTCTCCAAAGGGGTAAAATGATTCTTTATAGATTTAGGGATGGTCAAGCTTGATCATAACTGGTGCTACTTGAGAGGTAACTTAAGTTTTACCTTAATGATTATGCTTTTTGATTATTTTTCTTAGATAGCTATGTTTTTAATGTTTTTGTTTGAGTTTTTTTTAAGAATGATGCCTTACACCAAATTGAGATTGGGCCTTAAAAGGAAATTTAGGGAGTTCTTTTTTTTTTCCTTTATGCTTTTGATATAATGTTCCATTCAAGTGTGGGGAGGGGGGGAAGAAAACTTTTAGCTTTAAAAATTTTTGAATTCTCAACCCATCTTTATTTACAAACCAAATTGACTTATTAAATCCCATTATGATGTTCACTTAGTAGAAAATTACACATTTTCTCTTAAAATGATTAAAGTATGATATGAGTTTAAGTATGAATATAGTGGAACTTGAAACGAATTCTTAAGCATGTTTTTCTTTTGATATGATTTTTATGCATACATCTTTATTCTCTTTTAAGAAAATGGTATGATTTGTGTGAAAAATTGTAAGATGTGATTTTGCAGGAAATTTAAAGTTTTGAATAAGTGTTTTAAAATTCACCTACTCAACTTTTGAGATGAAATTTTAGATTGTATTTGATGTAAAAGATGATCTAGACAGTTTTTTAAACCGTTTAAGCCTTTTTCAAGCTATCATGTGATAATGTTTTCTTAATACCTTTACTTTAAGCCTAATATATTTTTTTTCTTTGTTTATTTTAGCCACATTACAAGCTTATAAACCTTTTCTTTGATTATTATTACCTTTTTTTTTTCACAACCCGTTATGTTTATTTGTGTATGAACATATTTATAATTTTTAGAGGAAAGAAGGCGTAGGGAAAGAAAGAATAAGCTCACTAATAAAAAATTATGGGACATAAGGGTCAAGGATAGCTTGACTGTCCAAGAACCCCACTTAAATAATTCACCACCAATATAGCACCCAAGCTTGAGCCAAACAAATGAAGTAAGAAAATGACAATCGTTTTGACAAGTTTGAAAAAGCACAAGAAAAGTTGAGGGGAAACAAATAAAATTATCAAAATGTTGAAGAATTTAAGTAAAAGAAAAGTGGTAAAAGAAGCTCTAAGTCAGTTAGAACGTCTCAGGCAAGATGTAAATGACCCTTTGTATCTTTTTGGATTTAGCCATTATCAAGGTCAATCTTTTCAAGGGCCACAAACAAACTTCCCTAGGGTATATCCATACACCCATCTAAGGATGTAATCTATTACTACACAAGGGCATTTTCAAAGTTATGTTAACCTAGTCTTTTGAAAGAAAGCATCAAAACCAATTTAGGTCCTTGATTTGAATTATCCTAAAGAGAATGAAAAGTTGAAGATAAAATGGTAAAGTTTTTAGAGGATTCAAAAGTTGATTAAAAGAGGAATATGCTCGATGAAAGGTTACAAGCCCTAAAGGGAATCAATTTTTATGGTACCATGGATGTTGCTGGATTTTGCTTAGTCCCAGATGTTATTCTTAAAAAATTCAAAGTTTAGGAGTTTGAAAAATATAATGGTACAAAGTATCCTATCACATGTCATTATGTACTATCAAAAGAGGGTAGCCTACATCAGTAACGAGAAGTTGTTAATCCATGTATTTTAAGACAACTTGATCGGTTTTACTGCGAGATAGTATGTCCAGTTTGATAGAACCCACATCCATTCTTGGAAAGAGTTAGTTCATGCTTTTATCAATCAGTATTACATCATAGATTTAACTTTTGATCGTCTTTCCTTGCAGGGTATGAAAAAAAAGACGATTGAGTTATTTAAGAAATATGCCAAAAGGTGAAAAGATGTAGCTGTCTAAGTTCAGCCACCTTTGACTAAAAAAAAAACTACAATATTGTTTGTGAGCACTTTAAAATCTTCTTATTATGAAAAGATGATAGGGAATGTAATAAAAAATTTCGTTGACATAGTGCACTCAGGGGAAATTAATGAAAATGCCATTAAGAATGGCAAGCTTGAAAGAGGAAAGTCTTTCACTACTAAGAAAATGCCCAAGGTAAAGGAGAGTGAAGCTTAAGCTATGCTATTCAAAAAGCAACAGTTAAGAAATTATCACCACCACTAGTTTACCCTACATATTACCCCAATATAAATAATATCGTATTTTACCTATATCAACCAATTCCATAACTATTTTACCCATTTACTTATCAACCAACTTTTAGACCATTTACCAGTATATATACCCAACCTTCTATAAGACCTTTTATCCATCTAACTAACTCAGTAAGTAGTTCTCAAGAGCCATAAAATAACCGAGAAAAGCCCACTTTTGACTCGATCCCTATGACATTTACCAAGTTATTTCAAGAACTCATCAAGAATCATTTACTCTTATCCATCTAGAACCACTTAAGCCTCCTTATCCTAAGTGGTACGATCCTACTACCTACTGTGGTTACCATTTTGGAAATGCTAGTCATTCCATCAAGAATTACACCACCTTGAAGCGTAAAGTGTAAGAATTGATTAAGATGGGATGATCAATTTTGATATAAGTGAAAAAACAATACCAAATATCAGTGGCAACCCATTGTCCAACTAGAATCTAAATGCTCTAAATGAGGATCGAGAGTGTCGTGTGAAAAATAAAGTGGAAGAAATCAATACTCCTTTTAGTCAGTTGTTTGATGCCTTGTATGAAGCTGACATGATACATTCGGTGGACTGACGCATTTATCGTGAAAGATGTTTACCAAACAAAAGATGCAAATATCATAATGAGACTATTAGCCACTTTATTGAAACTTGTGAACAGTTTCGTGGTAGGTACAAAAGCTTATAGACTCATACCAGATTGAATTGTATAAAGAAAGAGAAGCTTCAATAAGTGTTAAAATGTCCGCGATCAATAAATTGTCAAAATTGGTACCAAAATTGATAACAATCCGTTACGGTGAGAAATTGAAGTTGGTTATAGACAAGCTCATTACAAACTAGTGACTTTCAAGGTCCTTAGTCTTTTTCCTTACAAAAATGAAAAGGTTGTCATGAGGATATGGTTGTGATGTAATAGTCTAACGGTAACAGGAGAACGGTAAAAGGAGACTACGCCTAAGATAGATGCTATCAATATAATTGGTGTATTTTATGTCTTTCGCAAAAATTATATGTATCATTTGCTTTTTCTTTTTCTTTTTCCTTTTGTAATCTCTCCTATTCATTTTCATTTGTTCTCTTGATTGTTTTTGTCACAAAGTCACTGACTTTGGTTACTTTCTCTATTTATATTATTTCTTATATATTTCAATAAAGTTTGGATTTTAATTTGATCAAGGCTATTTCTTATATAAATATAAAATGATATTCCAGTTATTAATTTATTTTTACAATAACATTAGATTGTTTGATCTTATTTGGTTTTTTAAGTTCATTTCGGATGATATGCCACAAAATTTCATAATTTTGAATTGAAATTTATTTTTAGTTCTTATATATGTTTCATTTGAATTTTGAGTTATTAAATTAAATCTTTTTTTGTTAATTTTTGGTACATAATCAAGTTTCATTTTGGATGATTTTTTTAACTTTTAAAATATTTGCACATCATAAAGTATTATTAGATTTTCATAATTCAACAATAACTAAAAGAATAAAAGATCATTCTCCAGCTCAATATTGTTGAAACCAAAATATCGTTATATAGTTAATTTTCTTTATTAGTGCATTACTTAGATGGAGTAACCCTTTGTCTAAGAAGGAAAGATTTCAAATTCAAATATCTTGTTCCCTAATACTGAGCGTTATTTTTATTATATAGTTGTGTATTGACAAATTTTTTTTTTTTTTATGTACCATCTAAAATAATATGAAATTTTGTGGCAAAAAAATCATATGAAATTTTATTTGTGTTGCATTTTACAAAAACAATAAGCTTTTCTACCTTATAAAGTTTTTCCTTGCATGTAAAAATGACCGGTAAATATATATATATATATATATATGAAATAACTTGCTAAATTTAAACCAAACCAAATCAAAATAATTAAATACAAGATAAATGATGATTATTCAAAACTGTCTACATGTCAAAAGAATAAACTATCCACATTGAATTTCTTTTTTTACCAAAAATTTTGGCTTTTGTATATTTATATAAAATAATACAAATATGAAGTATATAAAATTTTGAGATAATTTCATTTTTATCTTTAAATTTTAAAAAAAAAATTATTTTGATTCCTCATTATCATGAGCAACAATTGATGTCACCATATAGTGATAACTAATATTTACCGTCAATTTAAATTATAAGATTAAAATAAAATAACTTTGAGTAATTAAATATTCAATTAAAATTATTGAAAATTAAAGACCCAAATAAAATTTTAAGTCAAAATTTAGAGATTGCAAATATTATTAACCCTACTAGTAAAGATAAGGTGAAAACCTAAGCTCTTCAACCAGAATTGAACCCAAAGAATCATCGGAAATAGGGAACAAACCATGGTTAGAAGTTGCATTGAAGGAACGTTGAGACAATTACTTTCTCCTTACTAAAAGCGTGGAATAGAGTAACTTCAAAACCGGCAAAGCATCACTCGCCCGACTCATCCAAATTTGACTGTTATGTTTGTTACCCAAAAAAAAAAATAAAGAATAAAAAAATCAGTCATGTTTATGTCCAAAAAAAAAAAAAACAGTCAACGTAGACAGTTCTTTTGTTGAGTATGCTTCATATGTTTGGTCCATTTACCAAATATTTACCAGAGGACCTAATTTCAATCATCACACTAGCCAAACCCATAAAACACAATAAAGCAATTTGTGTATTCAAGTACAAACATAACAGTCTTATGAGCCTTTACTCAGCAGTTTGAAAATCCCCAAAGTCATCATCATGTATGTCTTGAGTGCTCTGACTTTCGGGAGAAAGTTGTTCATCTGAATGTTCTTTCGACGAGTCTGAGGCCTTATCTTTAGAAGTGCCCCCTAGGCTGAGATTTGGTTGTGAGCTTGTTGGAGAATTCTGAGTGCTTGCAGAAGGTGAAAGTGGTGCTGGTGGAGGAGGTGGCGGTTTGATGCAAAGGATGGGCTCTTTACGGTTGCCTTTGTCCTCCAACGAGAGATTGTCAATGCCTGGCTCCAAAACCTTCGACTTCACATTAGAGCCGCCTCTCTGAGCAATAAGCATCAAAAAGAGGTGAAATTTTTAAAAGAACTAGAATATAGAATGTTGAATTATTATTATAAATTGTTAACAAGATGTAGATAGGCCTACATTCTTTATTTGAAGTACAAGGGTCTGTCCCTCCTTTAAACTGTAATCAAATGAGGAAGTTCTCTGGAATTGCTGCTCCATCTCTTCCGCAGTTTTCTTTTTGTTCAAATATCTTCAATACGATTTAAAAAGTGCATGGTTTAATAAAACTACAGTATTCATTCATAATTAGAAGACTATTCTTTGAAAAAGCAGCAGTAAGAACTATTAAGAAATCACAAAATAAAAAGCATAAGAAATAATTGAAACTGCATAAAGGAACATGAGAGCCTACTTCAAATGGTCATGCAAGGCTGCTTGGAAATCATAAGCCTCTGTTCTTTCTCGAAATCCAATGCCAATGAAAGCATGCCGAAGGCGACCACCTGCATTACTTTGGAAGCTTAAAAACTAAATACCGATGGCAAATAGTGACATGAAGCACATCAATCGTCATCATCGGAGACAGTTAAATGTTTCAAAAAAGGTACCGCAAAAAAGGTTTTGACATTTTACTCCAAGCAGATTTGGAAAAGAATTTAATCCACAGAGAACCACAAACTGTGATTTAAAATATTAGAATGGACCAGAAATTAAGAAGGTTTTTAGGTAATTAGGGATTTTGAGACTGTTACACTTCATATAAGTTGAGCAAAAGAACACATCACCAAACATAATCAGACTATAAAGGGAACATGAATTGATTGAAGTGACCGTAGTTCAAAGACAACATCAAGAACAGTCAGAACCGCAGAGAAGATATTTCTTCTTTCTTTAGGATGCAACTTCCTTGGAAGTGGATACCTGAATCCCAAAAATGGCCCACATTAATTTACCTACTACAACCTTGCCCGTCTCCACCCAAAATCCCAGCATCATAATTCCATTTTTCAAAGTGTTGTGATGTGACTCCACAAGGAATACATGCACATATCTAGTAGCCTGTTGCAGACATGATGTAACTACTTGGCAGTTCTATAAGATTTGCTCACTATTTATCCATTAACTTCCTTTGAAATACTTCTCTACTGTGCTGGGGGGGAGTTATTGTCTATCGTTGGCCTCTATGGTAGCATCAGTTGGGTTTTCCTTTGTTTTTCTAGGTTGAAAAAATGGGAAAGAAAATAAGGTATGAAAAAGGGAAGGCAAGAGGAATGGCGAGAATTTCATGTATTAGTGCCATAAACAAGAAAACAATAAAAAAGAATGGAAGAGAGAAATAAACTGAATTCCAACTTACCAATATTCTCTTCAATTCGAAGAACAAAATATCTGCAGAATAGACACCCTAGAGATAATGAGTTGTATCAAAATTAAAAATAGAAAATCACTGCACTCACATGAACATCTAACGTAATTCTTATGTTCACATACCTACTGCTGTCAATTACAGGTTCCACTGGATGCGGTTCTCCATTTCTCAAAAATGCTCGAGCATACAATTCACCTATAAGAAAGTACTAAGTTATAGCAGAAGCCAATCATCTACTAATAAAGGTAAGCACAATATACATATGACCACTCAAAACACAAAACTAAGTTTACCTGTAGACTTGTCTTCAAGCCTGATAATGCACTCTTCTCCCTTGCTAATGACTTTCAAAGCTCCCTCCCATGCCCACTTGTTGACATTCCATTCATCAGCCCTGAAATAAATTTTGGAAGAATAAATATGCATCTCCATTACAGCAAGAAAAAGAAAAAGCCATCTGAATCATTGTTAATTGATCTAACAAGAAGATTATGCCACAGTAATTTCAGCACATAACCTAATTGCTGAATGTATTTGCTTACATTATAATGCTCTCTTGTAAAAGTTTTTTACCCCTATCCCCTGTTGGCACGTTAAGGAGAATTTTATTCATCAGGTTGAGCAGTCAAAGACTTTTGTTTTCACCGGGAAATAAAATTAATTTCAAATTTTTCTGGGAAAAAATTAAACATAAAATAGTTCCCTCTGTTTATTACATAATGAATTTTCTTTCAGAAATTAGACCAGGTTCAAGCAAGCTAACACCGATTTTAGCCCTTATAAAAAGAAAATGGATTCTTGAATCCCTTTCATGCTCATGTCACATCAAGGTACTATAGAAGAAAAACTGCAAAATCCAATCCAATTTATGTAATTGATTAGTTAAAATATTGCTTAACCGTATTCTGAAACATGGGAAAAAAAAACTTAGCTTATCAAGTTATCTATCGAGTCTCGAAAAAGATTCAACAAAAGACAGAAACAAACCCACTATCTGTTTTACATCAAATAATACATGGAGTAACTCCCGATATAGCAGTAAAAGCAAAACATGTAGGCAGATCCACTCATCAAGTTCCCATGAAGAAGGATCCACACTGGAAAAGCACTTTCCATTCATTGGTTATTAGGGGCATCTGAAATCGTCCAGGTCGAAATATAGCTTTCAAATTAAGTTTAGAAAACAGACAAAATGGAAAGAACAAAGGTTCACCTAACATGATGACAAACAAAACAGTTTCTAATATTGAGTTCTCAATAGAGTTTCGACTATTTTCACCTAACTTTCTCATATAGTATTGGCGTTGCAATTTAAAAAAATGGATGAAAACAGCAGCTACACAAATAGAACAAGAGTGATAGGTAAGGTGTTGAACTTCATCATTGCAAACAGCAGATGGCAGAAACAACATGATACAAAAGATATCGTTCACAATTATTTTTCTTGCATACTGGGTATCATATATTCACAAGTTGGCCAACTACCTGTAGGAGGCTGCACTTTTCCTTGGAGGTATCTGCAGAAGTAACGCGCTCAATTAGCTTGATAGCATAGCGAGCATAAAAGGGAGTGTATACATACATGCATGCATGTATTTTTACTCCCATAAGAACTAGAACTCCTAGTCTAATAATGAATATAACATATTCTTGAAGTCCATATAGGAAATTATCAATCTTGACATAAAAAGGACACCTAAACTATAAATCAAACCCAATGCCAATAGCATAAATAAAAACCCAAAGTAAGACTTGAGACTCAAAAGATGCAGTATCAAGCAATCCAAAAACTTGTAAAATCACACCTGACACTTGAAACTGAAGAAAACAGAGAATAAATAAGAACCTAAAATGCAAAAGCAACAAATAAGTCCTACTCAAGCTCCCAATTAAGCTTCTCATCACCGGAAATCTACCAAGTCAAGGCTTGGCCGCTAGAAGCATTAGTTCACTTTCTAAACACCTATGGAGGCTGCTGCTAACATGCTCTCTCAGTTACTCCATCAACAACTTTTGTCATAAAGTTAACAGATACAATATATTTAAAAAATTGCATGATTTGAAGTGAAAATGACATAATAGCAAAAATTTGGTTGGTTTTTGACAAACTAAAATATGCAAAATTGTCATTGTGTTGTCACAATATAGATTCAAATGTAGTAAAATATCGAGTCACCAAAGAAACACATTCTTATCATAACTTAGACTGATGCGAGAGAATCCCTTGAACAGTTCAATGATCCAGAAACATGCAAAATGATCATTGTATTGGCACAATATGCAAACATATATTCAAATGTAGTAAAATATCGAATCACCCAATAAAACCATTCTTATCAGAACTTACACTGACATGAGAGACAGTTCAAAGATAAAGCTTTCCATTTTAAATAAATACAATCTTGAACCTATCAATAAAATGTCACGCATTACAAATATTGAGTGGCAGTAATTTTAGAATTCTGTGTCCAAATTAAGTGTAATCTGTACTAATCTGAAGGTCAAAAAATACAAGCCATATATGGTAGGAAAGCTAGTTAAGTCAAGTTTTTGATGATTCAAATTGTGCAGGAATCGGAGCTTGTATTTTTGGCTGTTTGACCAAAAGGTATTCCTGATGGCATATATCAGGTTTTTGATGCATTTTTTTTTTCATTAAGTTACAAATTTGGGAAGAAGGATTCACACCCAGCTTTTTGAACCAGGGGATACAAGCAACTTATAGGGCCAAACACCCAAATGCTTGTTTCAGAGCTCATGCTATAATCAGTTTGGTATAAGATTTCATTTCAGCATCATAGGCTCATGCAAGTTAAATTATCAGTTTTAGACAGTTTTGTTTAAATCATAAAATATAGACGATCCAAAATGAAGAAACCTGTGAACCAAAATGATTAAGAAAATGAAAAGGATGCAATGAACAATTTAGTTGGATCTCTACTATACTATATTTCATGGAAAATGTTCAAAAATCCATTTTCTAAGGCATTAATGAAGAGAGCTTTCCACTTTTGGCAAATAACGTGATAAATTACTATAACTGTTTTAATAATCATTTATTAAATAATGAAACGGAGACTGTATATCACTAAATGTGCAGATATTGCTTCTAGATACAGTTGTCCATGTGGATTATCACTGTTGTCAATATTTCAAAGAATATTTAACAAAATCGAAAGGCTTTTGGAAGAAAATTGTCCTCTCAAGTACAACCAAGATCCTGGAAGCAAAAAGCAAAGTCTTATTTGATGCTTTTTCCATCATATTTACAAAAGCAAATAAGGCTTTTAGCTCTTCCAAACGCCATAATTAATTTTATTTTTATATTTTAATACAGCAATTACAGTTTGATGTCTAGTTAAATGCTGTAATTGGATATATTTAATTAAAAAAAATTAAAATCTTTCTTTTCTTTTGCTGGTAAAGGCATCATTTATCGTTTGGGCATTTTTTTTTTTTTTATTAAAACAAAATGCAAGGTTGCCTAAAACTTGTCAAGGAGATTATGGTAATTAGATATGAATTAATAAACCAAGATTCTCTCTAACCAAAAGAGTAAATCTAATTATGGGATACCCTAAAAATCAAACAAAATCCCGGATATCAAAATTTTCAGGTATCACACTTTCCCCTGGAACCCAAGATTCCGCGAACCAATCGCCTACTAGCAATCCACTAATTCTTAGCCAGCTTAATGATTTTTTATACATATATACCCTAATTTATTGAATCTAAATCTTGACCGAGTAATAAACTAAACAAAAATAAGCTAAATCGGGTGAATTTAGCCTGATCCCCAAAACCCACCAAGGAAAACAGTAGAAATTGTCAGTTCAGATTCAACAGATTGATATTCGTGTATACATAGACAGTTGAGAGGAAGAAGGGACTGACCAAATAAACATAACATTCAGAGACATGAAAGAGGACAATTTCTAACGCTTCCTCAGTCTCATCGCTCTCACCAACTTTGCTTTCCTCGTTTGCTGCGTTGGGCTCTTTTTCTTTCTCCATCATGTACGATCTCAAACTCAGTTTGGCTACACGGCAAGGCAAGGCAAGCGAACCGAAAACTTCGGTGGGACTTAATGGGTATTTTCCAGATTTAATTTTGCTTTCTCTTGTATAACCCAACAGACTTTCTTTCCCTTTTTCTAGGTTTTTATTTTCTCTTAAATAGTTGACCATCTGCTTCAAACTTTTCTCAAATATTTAATTTGATACCTTAACATTTCCTTATAATTATGTTTCTCATCTTGTCATAATTATTTTGTGTTTATAATTCAAATTAAATATAAAATTAATATAATGAATAATTATTAAATTATAATAAATATTTAATAGAATATTTAAATTTTAAAAATTTTTAATATAATACTTAAATTATAAATTTATAATTAATATAATATTTACTTATGATATAATTAATTATAAATAATAACATGTATCAAATAAATAATTTTTAAATATTATATTAATTAATATATTTATAATTAAAATTATATTAAAATTTTTTTAAATTTAAATATTATTTTAAATATTTTATTATAATTTAAAAATCATAAAATTTAAATATTATTTTAAATATTTTATTATAATTTAAAAATCATTCGTATCAGTCACTCGTAAATAAAAAAACTTTTTGATGCATCTAAGGTCGTTCAAGCCACAACTTTTTTTTTTTTGCTTTTTTAATTATAAAACTACATCGTTTTAGGATTTGCTATAAAATCATAACAACTATATCTAAATTTCCTTTTATCTGTCATTCTATTCATTTTTGTTTCTTTCAGTCGTGGTTTCGTTGCCAACAACCTCGTTTTCTCTCTCCCTCGCGTTTTTGTCTCTTTCTTTTTTTATTTTTCTTTCCCTTCTTAGAATAACCTTGTCATTTACCAGTGTATTGGATTTTCAAAAGAAAAGGATTTAAATGAAATATGTTATGAGCAGTGAAGCTGATTTTATGGTAAGTATATATTATGGACTTAAGAATGCTACAATGTTTTGTCAATTTTTTTCTTGACAAGAGAATTACTTTGTCGACAAAACATCAAGCAAAAGTGGACTCACTCAATTTCCTATTTTATGATTAGGACTAAAAGGTTTGACAAATTAAAAATAAGGACCAAAGTCAAAGCCTACACTTGGATTAATACCTCAAAGTTAAGTAAATATCATATTTTAATTTGGGAAAAATAATTTTTTATAGTTAGATTTAACTCATGATAGAGAAACCTAAAAACTTTATGAAATTTCTCATCATTCTTCATTATTGGTTTGGATAAATCAATTAAATTTTGTTTTATTCATCTAATGAAGAGTTAAGAAAATTTAGTAATATGATTTTATGGTTAATAAAATAGAAAACCAAAATTTGTATGGCTCAAGAAGAAAAATTTTGTTTTCTATAAGTCGTGTTGTTTCTGATAGTGAATTAAAACTAAATTATGAATTAATATAAAATATTACTATGAGTATTATATATTATTAAAAAGTTTGCTGAATCTTTTCAATAATACACATAGAAATCAATTTCAAGTTTTTTATGAAAAGATATATAATATTTACTTAAGGGTATGCATGTTGTTTGACAATAGCAACATGGGTGAATTAAGAAATTCTTTTAATTTATATAAAGAGAATTATAAATTTAACCATATATGTTTGAAAAGATTATTGAGTCTAGTTTCTAGACCCTAAAAAAAAATTCTTAAACTCAAGTTTTATAGCTTGAAATATAGTCATTTTAGCAAGACATGTGCAGACTGCTAGAATTAGTTGTTTAAGCTAATTTGTGCTAATTTTGGTTTTTCTTATTGTAAATAGCCTTTAAAATAGTTTATTAAATTTTATTATATTAATCAAATCATCTTAGATAGACTGTTGATTATTTTGGGGGAAAGCTGAGTTTTCAAATCACAAAAAGGTAAGCACAATCTCATATACTTTACTTGTTTCGCATCTATCATATATATAATTTCAATAAGCAAATTTAAGGTCTTAATTTTTTTTATTTTAAGTATGAAAATAGGATTTTTTATGTGATTATTCTTTTCTTGTGATATATTAACATAATGAATGATGAGTTTACAAATAAGAGATGAAAAGGGTTGATAACGTTCAAAGAACATTTTCACAAAAACGATGAATAGTACTTAAAAGCAAGATGATCACACCAAAACTAATCCCACGAGCCTTATAACAGGTTATAATAATTAGCATACAACCTGAATAAAGAGTTATAATAATTAGATTAGGACCTGACTAATAGGTTACAATTGTTAGCTTACAGCTTTGTTAATGGGTTACAATAGTTGGCTTACGGTCCTATTAATGGGTTCAATAGTTAGCTTACAACACAATTAAAATAGTTAGTAATGATTATGAGAATGATACCAATTATTGTAAAACTTAGGGTTTTTCATGGGGTAAATTTGAGCTTAGACTTAGTAAATTTTTGTGATTTTTGCTCCATTTTACTCATAAGGTGTGTCATTTTCAATTTCGTTGGAAAATTTGAAGGAAAATGAATTTTGGCACAAATTCAACCAAAAATGGCAAAAATTATACATGAAAGCCATGCAAACCATAAAAAGGTGACAACCTAATTTGGCCAACATCTCAAGCCCTTACCAGGATTTAATCCAAGCCACCCCATTACCCATAAAAGGTTTGGTTCGTGTAAGAAAATGAAGGAAGAACAAGTTTGCTTGAAGTAAAAGACCATTTGAATTCAAAAGAGTTTGGAAGCAATCAAAAGAGATCAAAGGAAGATTGTGCATTTATTTCAAATCATGGTTAAATCTCCCACCTCAATCTTAGGAAATTTGAATTCAAATGATGTGGCATGGATAACAAGGCATAAACAGCACACAGGCACACCATTCAGCGATACAAGCATCCACCTAAGCAATCTTACTCCTAGTCACAATTTAAGCTTCATTAAAATAAGAACACTTTTAAATTCAAATAAAAAGTTTATGCCAAGCTAGAACTGTTTAGGTTTATCCACTATTCCCATCACCTTCAATTATAAATAGGCATCTTTAGCTCACTTGGAAAGCATCCCATTTTCTCAATTCTTTTCTTTTCTTTCTTTTTCACTTATTGTTAAATTTTCATGTATTTTAGTTTAGGTTCGACTAGGGTGATAGACTAGCCTAAACTCTTGTTTTCAAGTTTTCTTCTTTTTAATATAAGTTGTTTTAAAGTTCTTTTTCAAGCTCTCTCTTTTACGTTTTATGCAAATTAAGTTCAAGTTTTATTACCAAATCTTCATGCCTTGCCATTTACTTTCCTAAAATCTTAATCATTTTTTGATTTCTTTGCTTTTAATCTCTTTTACATCCTTGCAATTTTTTTCCTTGTTATTGTTACATTCGACCATTAGTAGCTTTTGGCATAACTCTTTCCATTTTGCTCACCCTTTTTGTCCTACACTTTTTTTTTTTTACCTTATGTAAGTACTTTAAATGTTATTTTCATACATTCTTAGATAATCTCTTTAGTTTTGTTTCAATCACTCTTCATCCATATTTTGCAATATCTAAATATGAGGTAAAAAAATATCAATTTTGGTACTTGATTAAGTAACCCTTACATAATCTTTGAGAGAATGATACTCACTTATCATTGTATTACTTGATACCAATCTATGCATTTACAGATTTAAAAAACAACAATCAATTTTTAGCATCAGTGCTACAGATTATTTCGATTCAAGATTACCAATACCAATACTAAATCATTTTCCTTATAGTTTATAATTTTATTTTCTTGTTCTGATGTGTTTTTTCTTTTTTTTCTTTTATGTATGAATTTTATTATAATGAGGTTAGAACCTTTGGGGACAATGCTGAGTCGTTATTTGATATTCTCATATTCAATCACCATTCTAGAATCCAAGACTTGGGAATGCTACTAAAAGGTATGACTTGAAACCCATTATAGCTATAACCTTACAAATAGCACTATTACCAATAGGATAGATGTCATTGGAACTACCTATGATCTTAGTCTTATTCAGTCATTTTAGAGTCTATTTGTCACCTGTAATTCTTATAGGGGAAATCATTGTAGTAATAGGTGACAGTATACCCAGTAATCAAACTTTTACTCAAATACTTAGACTTAAAGTTGGGAGGATTATCTTAGTTACACATAAGGAAGCAGTCAAGGACCATTATTTAATTCAACACCTATGAATAGCCTTACTTATCTTTCAGAACCTCCAACATTAAAACACTCTCTTTTACCATACTAGTCATCACCATAATACTATCTGTCACCATAACATTTTTCATCATCTATATAGTATCAATCACCACCACCACCTTCCTAGCAATAAATGAAAAAAACCTATGAAGAAATGTTTTTCGCTGTTTTCAATATCAATCCAACATAATCCAAACTTAAGTTGCTTCCCTTACGAACATTGCGATACAAGTTGAGCATTTAACTAATGCCTTTAGTACTCATCTTCAGGATACTTTACTAAGTGATATTAAGTCTAACCTTTCATGGGTGAAGAGAACTATAGGGTGTAATCTTTAGAGAAGAATGAAGAATTGAAATGAGATGGGGTGTATTTTGATGAAAAGATTATTATGGTAGATATGCTAGAAGTTGTTAAGGTGGTAGAATAAGAGATAAATGATCATTTTAGTGCAGAGGATTTTGAGAATGATGAATCAATTTTAAGATCTAAATCTCACGAAAGGCATGGCACTAGTCTTATTCGAATTAAGCCTAAGCCTTTTAGTTTACCCATGTCATTTCTTTAACTCTGTGAAAATCAAATGCATCATAACTTAAAAATGAATATGGTAGATACATATGTTGATGAGAGTTGTTTACTTAATGATTTTCTTAAACCTTTAGAGATATCCTTCTTAACCTTAGTAAAGCTAATAATATTAAAGAGTTGAATGATGATGAGATTGAGAAATTATTAAGATGTTCAAATTTTGAAGATGATAATGAGAATGTTTTCCCCAATTTCTGATTCATAACTTGAAACCTAATGTTTTCCCTAATCTCTTATTCACAACTTGAAACTTTAAACACCTTATCTTTTGTACTCACCTAAATTATATCACCCATTAAGAAATCTTTCACTTTGAGCCCAAAGTTATACTCCCAATGATGGTACTCTCTCACTAAAACTAAAGCTAGTGTCACCTAACTTAATCCAGCTGATGCTATAGTAAAGACATTGTTAGGGATAGGCCACATATTCACTTTCACCACAAT